TACCTTTACGTACGAACGTCTGTGCATGCGTACGTATGTACGTGTACGTACGTACGTCCATTATTTCAAGTTATCGCTGCTGCTCCACCAATTAATTGCCCCACAATTAATTAATTATTCGGTACGCCTGATTAGTATAATGTTTCAAACTCGGATTTAATACGTAAGTAATATTAAGATAATTATATTTTTGACAGCAAATTTACTTTTTCTTTTGTTTGATCACTCCCTTCCGACTGCTGTCATGCGATTAACGTATATGTAATAAGTAATAAAATGTAATAATAACTACTTAATTATTACTTAATAGTAAATAAGAAAAAGTCATAGATCAATATTACCTATAAATCTGATCCACAAATAACTTTAATGTTACTGAAATAGGAATAAATTTATTTCTTGCGCAAATATAAATTCAAGTCAATAAAAGATCCAATAAAAATTTTTTTTCTTCAAAACCAATTTTAATCCATCTTTCATTATATTTTTCAACATGGAGTTAGAAAAAATAGCACGAGATCAAATATCATCCTACAAAAATATGGAGGAATATCTCAAGTGGATAACTAATACTATTTGTGAAATACATGGGCCTTCGTGTGGTGGATCTCTCTTACATGAAGTTTCATCAGGAATTTATATCATTGACGAAAAGAAAGTCAATAATTTCTGCGAAAGTCACTTTAGTTATTTCGATAAAGAACCTAAAGAAAAGATTACAGCAGAACTCAAAAGCTTATTCGATACGGAAAGATCTCAATCAACATATAAATATATAGACATTAAATGTGGTACGGGCAATGTAGACAATCCAATCACTGGAGGATATTTTTACTTTTGTTCTAGTGCTGATAATGCTGATAATGGAGGAAAGCGTACAATTTTCATAGGATTAGCTCAACTTACAAAGTTACCTGCACCTAATCATTATTTTTTGAAAGATTATTATGAAGGAAATCATGATCGTGTTGAAAAGCATTAATGTATATTATATATAAGGATGTGAAAAGCAAAGGTCTTTTAAACGACTAGTTTTTTTTTGTTACTTTGCAAATTGATTTTTTTTTTCTTTTCAATTTATGTAATTATCTTGCAATTTTAGAAGTTTGTAACATGAAATCAATCAAAATATTCATTATCCTTTATTATATAATATGAACATAGAAAGCTGGCAGTAAAGAAGTAAAAGGAAATGCTAAGACAATATTGAATTAGTAGACATGTGAAGGGAGGATTTACTGCCATAACTAAGTTTTGTTAATTTTATTGTCTATTTATAAACCGATACGTATCAACTAATATCTTCCTGTCATAACACTCGAACCATTAATACACCTATTTCTACTCAGAGATACATTTCCAAAGTAAATATTTTTTTATCCCTTATTTAATCGGATAGATAAGCAAACACCTCTGAGCATTCTAAATATAGCAAATTAAAATTTTATTAAAGAATTTTACAACTGAGTATTCTTTGGGCAATCATATAATGTTTGACTACATATTTCATTTTGAAGAGCTTCTTCAATAATTGCACGAATTGTGATTAAATCATTACGACAGATACCTTCAACAGAATTTTCGCCGCTTATTTTTCAAAAACTGAGCTTTCATTAACTGATGACTTTGCTAGAAAAACTTTATGTTCTATTGTAAAAAACAATTATATATGTATATATATTGATATAATCATATCAAATTCGTTCTTTACTTGCCAAATAAGGTAAATCTATGTCTATGATAATGTGAATATAATTGAGACCGTTATAGTCTACTTCAAATCAAAGGCATCAACCAATCAGACGAATGCCCTATCTATTTAATAGGATGAGATGTTTGGTCCTACAGAGTTAGAGACTGAATTAGTAAGAGAACGAACTTATGAACATAAGCAATAGATTAAATAGTGCAGATAAAGTAGACAACGATATTAGTGAAAATATAAATAATAATGAAGGTAAAGATAGTGTGATAGAAAATTTATTTATAGCACTTTGAAGAACATGTCAAAAATTTAAAAAGTAAAAAATAACCTTTTATAGGTAACTTTTTCTGTTTATAATAGTTTATCAATAGTTTTGCTAATTGTCAGTAGTTTCGTTAATTGCCAAAGTTTCTTCAGTTAAATCATTGATGAAACTGTTTTAGCCATTGCAAAAAATGATTTCGTCAAGCATGTTCGGTGGAATAATTTTAAATTCTGTATTTCAAATAGCTTGCTAACGTGTATTCATTTAATATGCTTTGATGATTTTTGCGATGATATTAATGCCAAATTTATTTGTGGTGAGCAGCCACATTACGTACCAATTTTAACGTGTCTCAATAATATACGTATTGATATACATATTGCATAAACCATATTCTTAGAGGTGTTGTTTATAATCATAAGGTTAATGGCATAAAAGATGTTTTGTAGGCCAATAAAAAAAGAAAAGCGTATAGTTTATATATAAGTAT